GTGTGTTGGAAGTAGTTCCAAGATTGATATGATCATCATCGCACACTCCCCTATACTTTCGGGATTAGTGTTGAACCTAAATAAGTGTTATTTGGTTTTTGCGTTGAGCATGAATATGATTTGATCATGTTTATTGCAATACGGTTATTCATTAAAATCAAAGAATAATTGTTGTTCTGTTTACATGAATAAAACCTTCGATGGTCATACACCCAATGAAACAAGTTCATTGGATCTCGATCGTAGTGATACACATATTCATAATATTGAAACCAAAAGATGCAAAGTTAATAATGATAGCGCAACTTATTTGTGGCACTGCCGTTTAGGTCATATTGGTGTAAAGCGCATGAAGAAACTCCATGCTGATGGGCTTTTAGAATCACTTGATTATGAATCACTTGATGCTTGCGAACCATGCCTTATGGGCAAGATGACTAAAACGCCGTTCTCCGGAACAATGAAGCAAGCAACAGATTTGTTGGAAATCATACATACTGATGTATGTGGTCCGATGAATATTAAGGCTTGCAGTAGGTATCATTATTTTCTGACCTTCACAGATGATTTGAGCAGATATGGGGATATCTACTTGATGAAACATAAGTCTGAAACATTTGAATAGTTCAAAGAATTTCAGAGTGAAGTGGAAAATCATCGTGACAAGAAGATAAGGTTTCCACGATCTGATCGCGGAGACGAATATTTGAGTTACGAGTTTGGTCTTCAATTAAAACAATGTGGAATAGTTTCACAAATTCATGCCACCTGGAACACCACAGCATAATGGTGTGTCCGAACATCATAACCGTACTTTATTGGATATAGTACAATCTATGATGTTTCTTACCGATTTACCACTATCGTTTTGGGGTCATGCATTAGAGACAGCTGCATTCACGTTAAATAGGGCACCATCAAAATCCATTGAGACGACGCCTTATGAACTGTGGTTTGGCAAGAAACCAAAGTTGTCGTTTCTTAAAGTTTGGGGTTGCGATGCTTATATGAAAAAGTTTCATCCTAATAAGCTCAAACCTAAATCGGAGAAATATGTCTTCATAGGATACCCAAAGGAGACAGTTGGGTACACCTTCTATCACAGATCCGAAGGCAAGACATTCGTTGCTAAGAATGGATCCTTTCTAGAGAAGGAGTTTCTCTCGAAAGAAGTGAGTGGGAGGAAAGTAGAACTTGATGAGGTAACTGTACCTGCTCCATAATTGGAAAGTAGTTCATCACAGAAATCTGTTCCTGTGACTCCTGCACCAATTAGTGAGGAAGATAATGATGATGATCATGTAACTTCGGATCAAGTTACTACCAAACCTCGTAGGTCAACCAGAGTGAGATCCGCACCAGAGTGGTACGGTAATCCTATTCTGGAGGTCATGTTACTTGACCATGACGAACCTACGAACTATGAGGAAGCGATGATGAGCCCAGATTCCGATAAATGGCTTGAGGCCATGAAATCTGAGATAGGATCCATGTATGAGAACAAAGTGTGGACTATGGTGGACTTGCCCGATGATCGGCAAGCCATTGATAATAAATAGATCTTTAAGAGGAAGACGGACACTGATAGTAGTGTTACTATCTACAAAGCTAGAATTGTCGCAAAAGTTTTCGACAAGTTCAAGGTGTTGACTACGATGAGAGTTCCTCACTCGTATCTATGCTTAAGTCTGTCTGAATCATGTTAGCAATTGCCGCATTTTATGAAATCTGGCAAATGGATAAACAAAACTGCATTCCTTAATGGATTTATTAAAGAAGAGTTGTATGTGATGCAACAAGAAGGTTTTGTCAATCCTAAAGGTGCTAACAAAATATGCAAGCTCCAGCGATCCATTTATGGACTGGTGCAAGCATCTCGGAGTTGGAATATACGCTTTGATAAGTTGATCAAAGCATATAGTTTTATACAGACTTGCGGTGAAGCTTGTATTTACTAGAAAGTGAGTGGGAGCACTACAGCATTTCTGTTAAGTATATGTGAATGACATATTGTTGATCGGAGATAATGTAGAATTATTCTGCAAAGTATAAAGGAGTGTTTGAAAGGAGTTTTTCAAAGAAAGACCTCGGTGAAGCTGCTTACATATTGAGCATCAAGATCTATAGAGATAGATCAAGACGCTTGATAAGTTTTTTTTCAATAAGTACAAACCTTGACAAGATTTTGAAGTAGTTCAAAATGAAGCAGTCAAATAAAGAGTTCTTGCCTGTGTTACAAGGTGTGAAGTTGAGTAAGACTCAAAGCCCGACCACGGCAGAAGATAGAAAGAGAATGAAAGTCATTCCCTATGCCTCAGTCATAGGTTCTATAAAGTATGCCATGCTGTGTACCAGATCTATTGTATACCATACACTGTGTTAAGAGAGGGAGTACAATAGTGATCTAGGAGTAGATCAATGGACAGCGGTCAAAATTATCCTTACTGGAATAAGGATATGTTTCTCGATTACGGAGGTGACAAAAGGTTCGTCGTAAAGGGTTACGTCGATGCAAGTTTTGACACTGATCCAGATGACTCTAAGTCTCAATCTGGATACATATTGAAAGTGGGAGCAATTAGCTAGAGTAGCTCCATGCAGAGCATTGTTGACATAGAAATTTGCAAAATACATGCGGATCTGAATGTGGCAGACCCGTTGACTAAACTTCTCTCACAAGCAAAACATGATCACTTTTTGGATCTTAATCACATAGCGATGTGAACTAGATTATTGAATCTAGTAAACCCTTTGGGTGTTAGTCACATGGAGATGTGAACCAATCACATAAAGATGTGAACTATTGATGTTAAATCACATGGCGATGTGATCTAGATTATTGACTCTAGTGCAAGTGGGAGACTGAAGGAAATATGCCCTAGAGGCAATAATAAAGTTATTATTTATTTCCTTATATCATGATAAATGTTTATTATTCATACTAAAATTGTATTAACCGGAAACATAATACATGTGTGAATACATAGACAAACAGAGTGTCACTAGTATGCCTCTACTAGACTAGCTCGTTAATCAAAGATGGTTATGTTTCCTAACCATGGACAAAGAGTTGTTATTTGATTAACGGGATCACATCATTAGGTGAATGATCTGATTGACATGACCCATTCCATTAGCTTAGCACCCGATCGTTTAGTATGTTGCTATTGCTTTCTTCATGACTTATATATGTTCCTATGACTATGAGATTATGCAACTCCCATTTGTCGGAGGAACACTTTGTGTGCTACCAAACGTCACAACGTAACTGGGTGATTATAAAGGTGCTCTACAGGTGTCTCCAAAGGTACATGTTGGGTTGGCGTATTTCGAGATTAGGATTTGTCACTCCGATTGTCGGAGAGGTATCTCTGGGCCCTCTCGGTAATACACATCACATAAGCCTTGCAAGCATTGCAACTAATGAGTTAGTTGTGAGATGATGTATTAAGGAACGAGTAAAGAGACTTGCCGATAACGAGATTGAACTAGGTATTAAGATACCGACGATCGAATCTCGGGCAAGTAACATACCGATGACAAAGGGAACAACGTATGTTGTTATGCGGTCTGACCGATAAAGATCTTTGTAGAATATGTAGGAGCCAATATGAGCATCCAGGTTCCGCTATTGGTTATTGACCGAAGACGTGTCTCGGTCATGTCTACATTGTTCTCGAACCCGTAGGGTCCGCACGCTTAATGTTTCGATGACAGTTATATTATGAGTTTATGAGTTTTGATGTACCGAAGGAGTTCGGAGTCCCGGATAGGATCGGGGACATGACGAGAAGTCTCGAAATGGTCGAGACATAAAGATTGATATATTGAAAGCCTATATTTGGATATCGGAAGTGTTCCGGGTGAAATCGGGATTTTACCGGAGTACCGGGAGGTTACCGGAACCCCCCGGGAGGTATATGGGCCTTAGTGGGCCGTAGTGGAAGAGAGGAGAGGTGGCCAGGGATGGGCCGCACGCCCCTCCCCCCTAGTCCGAGTAGAAATAGGAAAGGGGGGAATCCTACTCCCGGAGGGAGTAGGACTCCTCCTGGCGCGCCCTCTCCTGGCCGGCCACACCCCCCCCCCTTTGATCCTTTATATACGGAGGCAGAGGGCACCCCTAGGGACACAAGTTGATCCACGTGATCATATTCTTAGCCGTGTGCGGTGCCCCCTTCCACCATAGTCGTCGATAATATTGTAGCGGAGCTTAGGCGAAGCCCTGCGACAGTAGTACATCAAGATCGTCACCACGCCGTCGTGCTGACGGAACTCTTCCCCGACACTTTGCTGGATCGGAGTCTGGGGATCGTCATCGAGCTGAACATGTGCTAGAACTCGGAGGTGCCGTAGTTTCGATGCTTGATCGGTCGGACCGTGAAGACGTACGACTACATCAACGATGTTGTGCTAACGCTTCCGTTGTCGATCTACAAGGGTACGTAGATCACACTCTCCCCTCTCATTGCTATGCATCACCATGATCTTGCGTGTGCGTAGAATTTTTTTTAAAATTACTACGTTACCCAACACTATACTCAATTCTGTCAATTGCTCAACAGTAATTTGTTCACCCACCGTAAAATACCTATGCTCTTGAGAGAAACCACTAGTGAAACCTATGGCCCCCGGGTCTATCTTCATCATATTAATCTTCCAATACTTAGTTATTTTCATTGCCTTTTATTTTACTTTGCATCTTTATCATAAAAATACCAAAAATATTATCTTATCATATCTATCAGATCTCACTCTCGTAAGTAACCGTGTAGGGATTGACAACCCCTTATCGCGTTGGTTGCGAGGATTTATTTGTTTTGTACAGGTGTGAGGGACTCGCGCGTAGCCTCTACTAGAGTGATACCTTGGTTCTCAAAAACTGAGGGAAATACTTACGCTACATTGCTGCATCACCCTTTTTCTCTTCAAGGAAAAACCAACGCAGTGCTCAAGAGGTAGCAGCCAGCTTGATCAATAAATCCCTTTTACTTCCACGGCTATCAAGGCATTACACCTTTACCTGTATAAATGGAGGCTTCATGAGCAGCGATGAGCATGTTAGACGCGTTAGAAACCAATGTTGTTCTCTTCATGACAAACTCTTCACGTCCGTTGAGCAACGTCATTGTCAATTGGGGCAAGTCCATGAGAACTCCAGCCATCTCATTTGTCCTTTCACCACATCTCACATAAACCACAGCTTCAGAACTGGAGTACTACAGAGATTGTTAAACTCAACATTCAGTATAGAGATGCCACCAAGAAATATATGGAAGGAGCAATTCTCTGGAGCTATTACATCAGGGCAGTAAAGAATGGAGAATTAGTGATCACCTTGGAAAGTGCCTGACTAATAACAGTTTTTCCACGACCAAAAGCACCAGGAATAGCACATGTTCCTCCAAGAACCAAGGGATGCATCAAGCACACGCTGGAACCATCACAAAATAGATAAGACTAAGATTTAATGGACTCAGAGGGCAATAAGAAACTAACATCTGAGAATGTTTGGTTACGTAAGAAGAGAAACCATGATGATAAAACAAAAGAACATATTTTATTATGGAAATTGAAGCTAAAGATAAGTTGTACACAAAGTTGTCCTGTAAGAAAAGGTGTATCCGCAAAAAGCTTTGATGCAACAGGTCTTGGTGTACACACATGCCATGACTGTTGTTCAATAAGTTCAACACAATAAGCTACTGCCTCTGTAATTTAAAATAAAACGTTTTTTGACACTATCATGGACTCTAAAAGATCTTATAAGAAGTTACAGAGGGAGTACCAACTTTCCTAAAAAGAGTTGTATGAAATAACTTTCTTACCTGAAGCATAGTAAATTGCTTTTTCATGCCCTGAAATTCTAGCTCTAGCACTGTATCCTGCATACATGACAAGAGTAGTGTTTCAAATAAAGTTAAGCATGGGTAGAACACATGCAGATAAATTAGAAATTGGAATAAAGTGATAGCTTCCACTAACCTATAGGCTGTATTGAACAGCTGAAGCGACGTAATTTACTTTCCCCATAGAACCAGGTGGAAGGGCGACACTGTGGTTCATCAAATTGTTCTCGAAGACAGTCTACAATAGAGTCAGCGAACATTAGCATGTGCACACAGGCCCAAAGCTGCTATCCTCTGTACAGTAATATCCATAAAAGAAAATTCAACATCATAAGAACTTACATCATATAGATCTCCGACTGCGAGAACATCTCCAACAGCTGAAGCAAATAATAAAAGGAGATGTTTTAGAGGGCCTTCCAAAGATTAACAGGAATGTCCCTCGTTCACAGTTAAAATATGCTAAATGCATTACCCAACTTTTTTCACTTAAATTCCCAGAGTGCATCGTCTTTAGATCTAATAGCAATAGTTTTTAGTGGGCGCTTCAAATTTAACAGGAACGAGGTTGTGACAAGTGACACAGATAAAGAGTAAATCAATGGAATGGACTGATTATCAATTTATCATGCTGAGCTTACCTGGATTCCCTAAAAAATGTTCCCGAGGATACCAGGACCCAGCTCAACTGAAAGGGGCTGCAAGTGCACAGCTAGTATTATACTGTTAGAAGAGCAAACAGTGGATCTCAAGGGAAGAATAAAAAGTGTAAAAATGAGAACTGAAAAATTCACATTAATAGTTTTGATAGGTCACACCGCGTAATTATTCGTTATATTCACACCATTTATGTTTTGTTCACTATCAAATAAGCTAAATCCGACCAAAGGTATTGATCTGCTAGGAAAAAAGACACTGATCTGCAATGCTACAGAACTAATAAGATTAAGCTTAGAACTGTGACTGTACAATGCAAATAACTTGGTAGAACCGTGGAAAACGACGTCCTAGTTCTAAAATTTGTAGCACTGCTTTTCCATCTAGCAACTAAAATTAACCATGACAATGTTTACAGTCCTAAACAGCATTATCCATGCTGAACCAGAATCACAAAAAATGCTTCCAAAATTGACAGTATTAATCGAGTTCACTTCCTCTCCTGAAATTGAGAGGACCTGAACAAAGCAAGCCACATGCACAGCCTGGTGGCAGCCGCAGGCAGGAACATCACATAGGCCGGCCAGCCGCGCGCTCCTCTGTAACATCACTACATCCTTTAACTGGAAATACAATGCTTCAGGAACCTGGTGATCAACAGAGGAAGAAAATTTTAGATAGAAACATGCGTTTCATTGCTGGACTAAAACTAAAAATGTTAAAAATCGAAGCTGTTGCAGGCCTCGCAATGCATCACAGGATCCACTGTAGCTGTAGCAAGAATTCATTATCAAAGGAAACAATGAAGATGTAGCAGGTATTGATCTTTACAGGAATCATTGTCGTTGCTGCTGGTTTTTATTGTGTGTGCACAAATTAGCATCCCAAAGATCAGATAGTTAGGTTGTCTTGGCTATGCATGACACACACAAAATAGTACTTTGTATGAATAGAAAGACATCTTCTAAGAGGCACATACATTGTTCATACAAAAATAGGAGGAAATTGAATTCTTTAATTAAGCCTGCCAAATTTCAAAATTGAAACCTTTGTATGCCTATGCCTGGAAATGGGTCATCCTATACAGAAAGGTCTAGTGCATATACCATTAGTAAGTAATGTACACATACATGTACAGAAGACCCAAGAGCCATGATTGGTACTTCAATTTAGTAGCAAGAGGTTCCATATAGTCGAGAACAAAGTTGGAAAATTCCATCAATAACATTCATTGATTAGAAAGGATTAAACTCAAACTTTGAAGATTCCAACTCCAGTAGTTCCAACAAGGCTGCATACCCCGAGCAGACCTTGGAACAGATAACCTGCACGCGCAAATTCATCTATTCTATCAACATCCTATATTCACCATCCGCCTCCCCCATTTCCTCTCTCCACTGCCTCCTCTCAACCCATCCCGGTAAGCCCCACCTTCCCACCTTCACCTTGTCGATGCATACGGCCTTTGCATCACAGTGCGCAAACCTTCATGATCTAAATAGATCTACCTTTCATGTCAATATATAATGCTTGCTCACAACCCATGACTCAATCTCTTGAAACAACAAAACACGTGGGTTTTTTTTTATTTTTAATTGAAACTACAATGTGGTATTCTTTAACTCAAACTACAATGTGCAGATTATATATTTAGATTATTTAGATTATATATTTGAGTAGTTGTGACAAAACAAAACATCGCTGCCGATACTATTTTGGATAATCCATATAGCAAAACTTTGGCCTCCTTTTCCTGTAGTTAGGCAACTTCAGGAGCATAGCACAAAATGGGATGGGAAGGTAAGCAACAAAACTTCAAATGTATGAGTTGCTTGGACTACAAATTTCTGAAATCCTCACTAATTCAATATGTCCTCATAAACTGTAACCCTTTTAGCGCTGAGTGTGGCATTGGCGTTGGATCATGATAATTCACATACGGCAATTGTTCCAGAATAATTGTTCCTACTGTGTGGAAGGATCATGTATGTATGCACTAAAATAATCATAGCCAAAAGGATCATGTATGTAACAGATTATCTTGTGTGGAAAGAACAGAACCACAAACATGTTGTTCAAACAATGCACACTTGAATGTAAAGAAAACTTACTGGCTCGGATGAGATCGTCGGCGGCAGAGGAGGAGCAGAGGAAGGCGGGCGGCGGAGAAGAGGATCGGTGAGCGGAGGGCGGGATGGGCGGGAGGTGGGAGAGGATGGACGGGACGGCAGCTCACGCCCACGGCGGCTCCGGCTGTCCCAAGGCGGCTCCCGCGGCGGGGGCGAGTGGTGGAGGTGGAGTGGCGGCGGCCAAGCTACGGCGGGGCTGCTCCGGCGGCAGGGGAGGCTCCCGACGAGCCGCGGCTGGGGAGGAGGAGGAGGCCGTGCGGCTGGGGAGGCTCCCGGCGACCCGCGGCCGCTTCCCGTGGCTCCGGCGGCGCGAGGAGGCGGTGAAGGGCGCGACGGCGGGAGGCGAACGACGCGGCTGCGGGAGGAGGAGGAGGTCATGCGGGAGAAGGAGGAGGTCGTGCGAGTGGGCGGTTTCCTTTCTTTTTTACTGCAGGGCATCGATAGACCGTGGCTTATTGCGTGGTTGATAGCGTTAAACACAGAATGATTAAAGGTCATTAGATTTTGACGATGGATGAATGTAATTGTTTGGATCTGCCCTTCTCTTCCTTTTATAGTGGTAATAGATAGTAGATGCACGGTACAGTAAATTATACTCCCTCCGTTCCTAAATACTTGTCTTTCTAGGCATTTCAACAAGTGACTACATACGGAGCAAAATGAGTGAATCTACACTCTAAAATATGTCTACATATATCTGTATGTAGTAGTCATTTGAAATGTCTAGAAAGACAAATATTTAGGAACAAAGGGAGTAGAAACATATTTGCTACTCCCTCCGTTCCAAAATATTTGTCTTTTTAGAGATTTCAAATGGACTATCACATACGGATGTATATACACATATTTTAGAGTGTAGATTTACTCATTTTGCTCCATATGTAGTCACTTGTTGAAATATCTAGAAAAGACAAATATTTAAGAACGGAGAAAGTAGAAAACAATCACATTTTGCTAGGTTGGCAGGAGCCATCATAGCTTGTTAAGATTTAAAAAAAAAACACCGTTTTTAGGCTGGTGTCTAACTGATTGTATTCCCTCCGTTTCTTTTTACTCTGCATATAAGATTTGGTCAAAGTCAAACTACACGATATTTGACCAAATTTATATTGAAAAATATAAACATCTATAATACTATAACTATAAAGTATGAAAATACATTTCATGATGCATCTGGTAATATATTGATTTTATATTATGAATCTTGATATTTTTTTTCTATAAACTTAGTCAAAGTTAACAAAGTTTGACTTTGACCAAATCTTATATGCAGTCTAAAAAGAAACGGAGGGAGTACTGACTTAGCGATTTTGCTTGTTTTAACTCGTTTTCTGACCACATCCTCTTTACATGTCCACAAGAAAAAAAATAGCACATTCACGGAACATATTTTTTTTAAAGTCTTACACGGGTATCTGGTGCATCGGTAGCACCACACGTGCAGTGTTGTGGGCGCACCTGATGCGTTCTCGGTGGTGGTGGGCACGACGCACATGGACAAACACATGGTGGGTTTGCCGCCCGTGGAGCCGGCCACGGGTACCCTGTACCGTACCCCCCACCAGCCTGCGTGCGGCACACACACACTGATTGCATCGCATAGCAGCGGGTCCAGTCGATCCCATCTGGTACGGCTAAACGGCTAAATGCGTCGCGCTTTTAACCGGCCGAAAGCAGCAAGGCCGGTCCAAATCATACCCCCCACGCGGTCCACGCGCGCGCTATATAAATAACCTATAACCCCCTCAGAAAAAAAAAACAATCCAGTGAACCGCCCATGCTCACCCTCCCGTGCTTCACCACTCCTCCTCAACCTCCACCGACCCGGCCGGTCCGGTCCGGTCCGGTCCCGGCTCCGGAAGTCTCCAGAACCCGGACAACCACCGCCACGCGGGCCCGCATGGCAGGGTCACGTCCCTCACGCGCCGCTACCTCCGGCGAGACCTGCTCGCACCACCCCCTCATAAATACTGGTGCGCCCAAGCCTCGCCGCAGATCGACCGCGCTCGCCCTCTCCGCTTTCCTGCTGCTGGTGCTGTTAACCGGACTCCCCGACGCCGCCGTCGCCGCCAACATGACCGAGGTCTGCGTCAAGGCCGCCGTCGGCCACCCCGACACGCTCGGCGACTGTGAGTCCCCCTTCCCTTCCGTGCTTCCTCGCCGGGTCGATTCCGCGGCGGAGCCCTACCCTAACTGATTTTGGTTTTGGTGGGGTGTCCAGGTCCCTTCTCCCAGAGGGTGCTGCTCACGCTGGAGGAGAAGAAGGTGCCCTACCAGATGAAGCTCATCGACGTCAGCAACAAGCCCGACTGGTCCGCCCCTCCCCCTCCCTCCCCACTAGAATTTCAGTTTCACGCCACCAAAATTCCTTAAGTCGTTACTAGTTTGTTCGCGTTGGGTGAAGCAGAGCAGTGTGGGACTGGGAATTTTATCGTACTTAGTTGCTATGTGTGAGGCCTGCGTGTCGCTTAGATGCCTTCTATGATGTGGCAGATTTTGTAGATACAGGGGGGATGTAGCCCTGGAATTGGGTGTAAATGGATAATGCGTTAAGAACTGAAAGTTGTTACCGTAAGGTAGCTGAAGATAAAAACCAGAGACATAGTTAAATATCTCTCTGGCAACTTTGATAAAAAAAATTACTAGAAAATCTCTTGGTTTACTGCTGCACAGGGGGTTCAGCATTTCGATAAAAAATAACTAGAAATTCTCATGGTTTACTTCTGCACAAGAGTTCAGTATTTCCATCTTGTTCCATAGAAACAGATTTACAGGATGAATTTTATCTATGATGAAGCACAGCAGTGCTGGACTTGGAATTTTCTTGTGGTCACCATGGGTGAGGCTTATGCGTCGCTTAGATGCCTGCTGTGATGTGACAGATTTGGCCTATCTAGTGCAGAATGTGTGGCCCTGGACTGGAGTTGGGTGTACATGCAGAATGTGCTAGAACTGAAAGTTACCGTAACATATTTCGAGATAAAATCAGAGACACAGTTAAATATCTATCTAGTAATTTTCATAAAAAAGAATCAGAAAACCTCTTGATTAGCTGCTGCACAAGGGGTTCAGATGGTAAAAAGGAATTAGAAAAACTCTTTGGTTTACTTCTGCACAAGGGGTTCAGTATTTCGATCTCACTTCAGAAGAACAGAGTTTATAGGATGAATTTCTGGTCTGACTAGTGGGCTACATCTTGAAGGTGATTTACCCAATGCATTTGCACTGTCCAGGCATAAGCTCGGAAGAATTAGAAAATTAGAACTAACTAACAGTAGCTAATATAGGGTAATTGAAATGCTTAACTTGAATTTTTTATGGGCCAAATGTGCCAAGATGAATTGCCAACTATTGCAACTTCTTGGGCATTAAAGCATTACAGACATTATTCTGCAACAACGAGTGCTGCATGATACATGTAACTAGGATTTTCCTATGAAGCAAATAAAACATTGTGCATTTGATTGGCATTGAAAATAAATCTAAGAGCAGCTACCATTTCCATTTTGCTAGTTCTTATATGGGGTTGAGGCTTTTATCTATGCAGATGTGCATGTTGGGGTAGCTTGATTTGCAACAAGCCTTTGGGTTGATACTGGACAGTATTCTGGCCTACTTTTTGCTAGGTTGCAAGCTTAAAGCCATTAGACGTAATCCCCAATGGACCATATGACCAAAGTGTTGCATTTAACTTCTATTTGTTGTCAGTCAGATTTACTGAGCACTTTGGAATTACTTTCATTTACTATTTCGAGGAGCCTGGTCTGTTCTGCATGCATTTTTCCTATATTTTATCTGTAAAAATGAAATGATCAAAAGGAAAAGTTGAAATGATCAAAAGGAGGATCTCAATTTGTAGCATGGCCTTTCACAGTCTGTAACCTTGCTTTTCACAGGGTGGGGGAGCAAACCCACAGTTGTTGTTCCTTCTTTTGTAAGATTGTTGCCTTAATAATCACAATTTCCTTGTAAGCATTGTTAATCTTTTTCAGTCTATATGAACGTGGTAGTGTTCCTTACTGTGTCTAGACGAACATAATAGAAATCGAAACTACTTTACGTATGACAGTTAGCTTTATCCTTGTACAACAACTGATCCAAAGGTCCTGATCCACACACCAGACGTGATGAATGGCTCTGCTGACTTGTAAATCGTACAAAGTGTTGTACGTGTAGTATTCTTCAATAGAAATTCAGCCTTTTGCGGCCACATAATCGTACTCTTTTTCGGCAAATAGAAGCAACTATATAGTGAGCAAATGAAATACAGAATGTTTCATGCTTTCACGTGCGGAGTTATTAGTCTTGGTCACCATTTTTATGACATTCTGGAGCATTAGCATCGGCAGTGATCTGATTAAGAAAATAGTGTTACATTTTTCAGACTGAGTCTGTAGGGATTCGATGGTGTTGAGATTGTGGAGCTTACCCCTGTTTGCAAACTTAAACTAATCTACTGTAATGACTCTTTCAGGTTCCTGAAGATCAATCCAGAGGGCAAGGTGCCTGTGTATAACGGTGGTGATGGCAAATGGATTGCTGATTCTGATGTGATCACTCAAGTCATTGAGGAGAAGTACCCAACTCCATCACTTGTGACCCCTGCTGAATATGCATCAGTGTAAGTTCGTAAGTTCCTTGATGGCACATTGCCAAATCCACATCTCTGAAGTTTAAAAACTTTGCTATTTCTTGCATTTCGAGATCCTTTTTATTTATATGGTCTCGTAAGCAGAAATTTGCTTTCATTTCGGCGATATATTTGGCATGTTGCTGCTAGGTTTTATATACTTATAAGGTCTTTGGCGTTGGGAATTGTGATTGTTAGTAGTTTTGTGACAACTTTTTTGCATGATCTCGTAATAAGGGAGTTGCATTTTTCTGCGGTTAGTTACAATAGAAATTGTTTTATCTCTCTTTTCTTGCAAGGTCTATTATGCTATTTTAACAGCTTAGTGGTGCTAGTAATAAACTTGCTCTCTTCCCTATTTAAAAAAGAAAATAAAAAGAGCTTCTAGATGCCTTTGGATTTGAAACTTGAGTTGGTTTCATGGACAATTTGGGCATGATTTCCTCTGAATTAAGGTATTTATGCATCCGTAGAGAGGAGAGTTGGCTACAATAGCATCTGGCAAGTAATTGATTCTGATAACTTAGTGAAATGACTGTAGTAACATGATTTATTTCTGTCTACTAAAAGAACGACAAAATCAGTTTTGATGCCATCTTGTTTCACCAACAAAGTAGTTTAGTAGCCACTCTCCATTTCTTTTACCATGTTCTGAGTATGGTTTCTCAACTTGGTTGTGGCTTGTGATAAACAGGGGATCAAAGATCTTCTCCACCTTTGTCACGTTCTTGAAGAGCAAGGATGCCAGCGATGGTTCGGAGAAGGCACTTGTTGATGAGCTGCAGGCGCTCGAAGAGCACCTGAAGGCCCATGTAAGTAGGCGGAACTGTCTTCGCAGTTGATGTGGCAGTTGCTTTCTGCAGTGGAATGGACATAACACATGCTTCCACAACCAATCCATTATATTCGAGCTGCACTCACTAGCTTCACTATCTCAGCACTCATCCTGTCTGCAATAATTTCATTTTGTCACGTTTCCTAATCGTGCAAGACGTGGGGCCTTTGTTTGTTCAGTCTGAACATCTGGCCTGATCTTCATCTAACAAAACTTTTGCTGGCAGGGACCCTACATCAATGGGGCGAACATCTCCGCTGTCGATCTCAGCCTGGCTCCGAAGCTCTACCATCTCCAGGTCGCCCTGGAGCACTTCAAGGGCTGGAAGGTCCCTGAAACCCTGACCAGCGTCCATGCCTACACCGAGGTAACACACGTTACCTTCTTTTGCCACTTCCAAAATCTTTGTCCATAGATGAAGTTGCCGAGGCTCATGACTATGTTTTCCCCTCACGCAGGCTCTCTTCAGCCGCGAGTCGTTCGTGAAGACCAAGGCGACCAAGGAGAACCTGATCGCCGGGTGGGCGCCGAAAGTGAACCCGTAAGCCCTCCCGCCGCTCGGAGACCCGGCCCACCCTCATCTGTCTAGGTTGGAATAATGCGAGCGAGCCTTGATGTGCTCTGGTTGTCGCAAGACGTGCACTTGCTGCCTGGACTGTGCCCTGCCTGGCTTGTGTGTGTGGGTGTGGGTGATATGTGTGTGGTCTGGTTCTAGCGGGAGTGCAAGTATTGTGGTGTGAACCTCTTTCGTGTGAATGAATAATGGAGCTGCGTAAAATTCAGATTTGTTATGCTGTAGAGAGTGGAGGAGCGCCTCCGAGGAAGTAAGATGTGGTACGCCGTTTCTTCAGTGTCTCCGATGTGACTCGTGAGATGGGGCAGGCAGCAGCGGCTTCTGCATCAGGAGTGGGAATTAATTAAAACTGGAGATGTAGAAAGTAGAAAATTGCCCCCTCACTTGATTCAACAAATTGAACTTCCCACACCTGATGTGTGACCATCAGGCTGATTCAGGCACCAGCTTCTTCAACAAATTAAACTTCAATACCGGATCCGTGTAATTGCTCCCCTCACTTATCTAAGAGCATCTCCAACAGCCGTGGTAAATATCGTGCGCTCAGGAGGCGTTTCGTTCAAAAATCACGTGTGCGGCAGTTTTGACGTGACGCGCGCGCCCAAGCCGGCCAAACACCCACTCGAGCTCCAGCAGACGCCGCAGGGTTCAAAAATCACGCGTGCGCGGCAGTTTTGACGTGACGCGCACGCCCAAGCCGGCCAAACACCCACTCGAGCGCTTCCTCCCCCATCTTCCCCCTGCCGCCCCCTTCTTCCTCGCATCTAGCGCCCCGCCGCCGCCACCGCGCCCTTCTCGTAGACGCCTTCTCCTCTGTCGCCGACTCCCCTGCCGTTGACATGCCGTTGCGCGCCCGGAGCAGCTTCGGCTACCGAGGCGTCCGCGTCCGGCCCTCCGGCATGTTCTATGCGGAGATCCGCTCCAGTGGTGTGCGTCTCGATCTCGGGACGTTCGAGACCGCGCACGAGGCCGGCCGCGCATATGACGCGGCGGTGTGGCGCCTCTTTAGGACAAGCTTGCACATGAACTTCGACGACGCGCGGGCGTGCCAGCATGCGCAGGACCTCGTGCCTCCGTTGCGGCTAGTTACTGATAAGGACGGTCACGAACACTGCAGACGACAATGTTGCCTCCTCATCGCCGAGGCGGACGAGCTAGCCATGGCAAATGACGCCAGCGCTACCCGCAGGACGTCGTCAACGAGAACGCCTTCTGGGTAGAGAGGAGGGCAAAGCACCGTGCGGACCGGGCGGACAGGCATCGGGGAAAGGTACTGGCGATACCGCAGTGTGAACTGGGACATGCGTCGTTCTTTGACGACAACAATCCTCGGTAGGATGATGTGTTTCTGTCGACGTCGGACAGCACCACCGAGGAGGACAACTTGGAGTAGTTTCTAGTTTTTATTTGCACCTTAGCTTATCTATTTTTTTGTATCGTAAGACTAGTTTGTGGTGTTGAGTTGAACTATGATATTTGTATTGTTGAATTTTATCTATATGTTGTTTCAATATTGTTCGTATGTGCTCTGGTTGCTCGCGTGCATCTTTTTTTGCAGCCTGTTGAAGCGGCTCGCGCGCGCAATATTTTGGAGCTGCCGCTGGAGCCGGTGCTTTGCTGCGCGCAAAAACATGTTATTTTGGCGCTGTAAAACTTGTTTCAGCGCGCCGCGCGTTGCGCATCTGTTGAAGTTGCTCTAAAGTGGTTTTGGCACACGAGGCGGATATTTTACCGAATTTTAACCAAAAATTTAAATTGTCCAGAAAAAAAATATGAAAAAAAGGTATGTAAAATCAAAACTACCATTGCTGACCAATATGCGAAAGTTTCAAACCTTTTAGACAAACATATTTCAAAAAATGTAGAAATCCAATTTCAGCCATTTTTTGGGTCAAATTTCAACCATGGATGGGTTCTTTTTCAAAACCGCCATGGATGGGTTCCTAATTAATCATTCTCGGTTAGAAAGAAGCAAAAGGTTCAGGTTCGTTGATTGGTAGGCTTGGTCTGTCACTGTTCCCGGATGCAAAGGTTTCCTTCCTTCTGAGGAACCAGGACGATCTGCCAGGATTTCAGAACCCATCTCTTGTGCTGATGAATCACAGTTCCTATGATGTGAACAAAAGAACATTTTTCTTCTTCTTATTCCTACTAATAGGATATAAGATACTCCCCCCCGGTCCTTTTTACTCTGCACATTGAATTTGCCGAAAGTCAAACTTTGCTAAGTTTGACCAAATTTATATTAGAAATTATTAGCATCTATAATATGTAATAAATATAATATGAAAATATATTCCAAGATGAATCTAATGATATTGGTGTTGTTATGTGAATTTCTATAATTTTTTGTATAAACTTGGTCAAAGTTGGATGAGATTGACTTCGGTCAAACCTAATATGCAGAGTAAAAATGACCGGAGGGAGTACATGATATTTCATTTGCTACAGGTGTGATTTTCTCACCCTGTGGACCAAAAAAGAGGCACTTGTAAGATTGTAAGATGAGACAATTATTAATAATGCAGTACACATTTAAAATTTACTATCGTACGCGCACCGGTTATTAGGCTGCCTCTAGATGACATGACAACTCCTCATCGATTATTGGCTACGGTATCAACCATGCTCTCTAAGGGCATCTTCAACGCCGATCCTCGAACCTCCCGCAATTGTCTGGAACTGGAATGTAGTTTAGTCACAAGCTTGGCAGCCTCATTTAAATCGCAAGCAAACCCATCAACCATGGAGCAGTAACAGCAAAGATTTTGAATGTAGCTTGGGGGTTCGATCTATTTTTCTCGTTTTTTTTGTACTAGCTATGTCATGATACCTAAGATGTTGAATGCAGTTGGATTATTTTCTTCCGGCTTTGTGGGTTCAAGCAATCTAAAAGTTGGACCATCTTCTCTTGTTAGTCTGCCATGTCTCTTATGTTTCAGATTCTTGTTTGGCAGATTAGTTAGTTTGTCTTGTTATTTTTCAGAATTGTTGGTAAACAAGTCGAGGAGAAGTTACTCGTGGCTATTTTGAGCTAGCTATGTAGTTACCATCCTTCCGTAGGGCTAACCGTCGCGGTGAACCAAGTGGACGAACGTGAGGGCAAAATCTTTCCCAGATATAGAGGCTTGGGTATGTGAGAGGTTTCAGATTGTATGAAAATCTCATTCCTAGCATCCAAAAAAAAAAAAACGCATTTCTGGACGTCGCGACGCGAGGACGTAATAGCCAGTGTCTTTTTTCCCTATCTTTTCTCGACAAAAAAAAATGTCATAAGGACAAAAAAAATGTCATAAGGACAAAAAAAATGTCACAAGGAATTATAATTTTCAGCCTTCCTTAGCGAGAAATTCCAGAAATTCGTTCCACAAAGGAATCGAACACTGGATGTCAGGGGTGATACTGGTA